AACTTAATCTTTCTGATCTCCTTCAAAAGCATAGAAATTCTGAGCTCTTGCAAGCACAGTATATGAATTATTAGTCATTCTTTCAGAAACTATTTTGAAAGTAAACGTGCAATTTTAAAATGATTTATTTGTTTTGATTTTATTATTTTATGTGTATGGGTGTTTTCTTGCATGTTTTTTTTTTTTTTTTGTGTACCCCCTGTGTCTGATGCCTGTAGAGGCCAAAAGATGGTATAGAATCCCTTGGGGCTATGGTTACAGATGGTTGTGAGCTGCCATGTGGGTGCTGGGAATTGAATCAGGTCCTCTGGAAAAGCAGTCAGTGCTTAATCTCTCTAGCTCTGTTAACAAACTTTTTTTTACCAAGAATTAGTAACTAATCTTGTAGACAAGTACAAGATATCTAAAAGAAACTCTTGAGTTTATTCTATTGGAAGTCTTCTTTTGGTCTAATATAAACACAGCAGTGAAAAGTCATGCTGTTTTGTTTTAAATTTTTATTTATTTATTTTAATTTACTGAGTGTGTATGAGTGAGAGAGAGAGAGAGATTTGTGTGGGGACATGTATATGTGGAGGGCAGAGGGCACCTGTGGACTCAGTTCTCTCCTCTCACCTTTACCTGGGTTCAGAAGATGAACTGAAATTAGTAGATTTGCGTCACAAGTACCATCTTGCCAGCTTTGCTTTCGTTTTGTTTTGTTTTGTTTTGTTTTTGAGAAAGGTCTCATGTAACTCAGGCTGGCCTTGTACTCAGAGAGATCTGACTGCCTCTGCCTTCCAAGTGCTAGGATTAAAGGAATGCTCCTGGCTGACTTCTGGAGTTTTGTTTTGTTTTGTTTTGTTTTGTTTTTTCTTTTTGAGACAGGATCTCTTTATGTAGTCCTGGCTGTTATGTAACTCTGTTTACATCCACCTGTCTCTGCCTCGCAAATGCTGGCTTGTGCCATCATGCTGGCCCAGCTAACATCTTTATTTTATTTTATTTTATTTTATTTTTTTGGTTTTTTGAGACAGGGTTTCTCTGTGTAGCTTTGCGCCTTTTCCTGGAACTCACTTGGTAGCCCAGGCTGTCCTCGAACTCACAGAGATCCGCCTGGCTCTGCCTCCCGAGTGCTGGGATTAAAGGCGTGCGCTGCCACCACCGCCCGGCTTCCCAGCTAACATCTTAAGCAAAGACAAAAAGGTACTTTCTGAAATGTGTTTGTTAGTCTATTCCTGTAATCCTCGCTACTGTAGGAAGATTGCTTTAAATTTGCAAGGGCAGCCTGGGCTATATATCTTGTGCTAGGCTAGCCTGGGTAGAGACCCTGTCTCAAAAAAACAAAACCATAAAGAATACTTGTACTTGCTGGGCTTTCTGAGCCAGGTGTGTATGCTGGAAGCAACTTAGGAGGCTAAGGTAAGAGGATCATTTGGGCAGTATAGCAAGACCCCATCTCAAAATAAAAATGCTATTATTGTTTTGTTTTGTTTTTGAGACAGGGTTTCTCTGCGTAGCACTGGCTGTCTTAGAACTTGCTCTGTAGACCAGGCTTGCCTTGAACTCACAGAAACACCCCTGCCTCTCCCTCCTAAGTGGTAGAATAAAGGCATGGGCCACTGAGTCTGGCTAGGCCCAGCTTTGTTGTTTGTGAAGCAAAGTTTTTTGTGATTTTTTTTTTTGAAGTGAGACCTCTAGCTCACTTCAAACTCATGTAGCAAGGTAGCACAGATTAGATCCTTCTGCCTGTGCCTCTCAGGATGGTGGAAACAGAAATATGTGTTATCACAGCTTTCTTCCCTCCCTCCCTTCTCTTTTTACCTCCGCTTTCACATCCTCCCCACTAGCTGCTTTTTTCCATTGCCCTCTCCCTAAATCTCCCTCCTCTGTATCTTGGAATGTCTTAAAAAGTTCAGTTCTCTTATAATTTCACCGACAGACACTTCAGAACAATGTTTCTGCAGATCTGGGCATGGTGCAAGCCTGCAGTTCCATCCTGTGGGAGGTGAATACAAGGGGATCAGGAGCTCAAGGTCATCATCACCTACATACCAAATTGGAGGCTAGTCCATAACTGCGGAAGACACTGCCTCAAAAAACCAAGAAAAGGGGAGAAAATAGGTCTAAGTAGATAAGTAGTCTTTTTTGGGGGGTAGAATGTTACAACAATCACAGTATTATTGTTGTATCTACAAACTCAAGAATAATTGTGGCTAGAAATGCAGTTCAGTGGTAGGACATTTATTTGTTATGTCTGCATGTGTGCGAGGGTGTGCGTGCCACAGCACATGTATGGGTAGCCAAAGGGTATCTTGTGAGAGTCGGTTCCTTCTTGCCATATGGGGTTTCAGAGATAGAATTCAGGTCATTAGGCTTTGGCAATTGCCCTTCCCTCTCAGTGGTCTTCCTAGCCCTGAAGCCTTGGATTTGTTCCCTGGTGCTGCAAAAGAACAAACAAACAAGTAAATAAACACTTAATAAAAATTATTTGCCAGGTGGTGATGGCGCTCGCCTTTAATCCCAGCACTTGGGAGACAGAGGCAGGCAGATCTTGAAGCCAGCCTTGTCTACAGAGGGAGTTCCAGGAAAGCCAAGGCTACACATAGAAACCTTGTCTTAGGGGGGAAAAGAATTATTATTTAAATTTTCTCTCTTAAGGCTTCTGTCTACATTTTAAAATTGTTTATGTGTGGGGAGGATGTTGTGTGCTGTGGCACACTTAGGGAGGTCAGGTGTCTGTTCTCTGCCTCCACCATGTGTCCTGGGACCAGACTTAGGTGGCGGCACCTTCACCCACTGACCCCTCTTGCTGGTTCAGTTGTTTTTCCAGTCAGCATCTAAACAAGTTAGGTAAACGTCTCTTAAATCTTAATTTAAATAGCCCATACTCCTGGAAGTAAGAGCCAGATGAGATAGATGTATTTGGTTTTTGTTTTGTTTTGCCCAGCTGAGATGTAAGCTTTTAAAAGTTTTATACTAGCCGGGCGGCGGTGGTGCATGCCTTTAATTCCAGCACTTGGGAGACAGAGGCAGGTGGATCTCTGTGAGTTAGAGGCCAGCCTGGTCTACAGAGGGAGTTTCAGGACAACCAGGGTTATTACACAGAAAAACCCTGTCTCAAAAAAACAAAAAAAATAAAATTTTATACTAATAGGTAGGGGTGATGGTATGGACTTGTAGTCCCAGTCTCAGGAAGTAGAGGCAAGATGATCAGGTGTTTAAGACCAGCTTTGCTGTACATTTGATCAGGAGTTAGAGGCCAGCCTGGGCTATGTGAGATCTTGTCTTTTTTGTTCATTTGTTTGTTTTTCCAAGTCAGGGTTTCTCTGTGTAGCCCTGGCTGTCCTGGAACTCACTCTGTAGACCAAGTTGGCCTTGAACTCTTAGAGATCCACATGCCTCTGCCTCCCCAGTGCTGGAATTAAAGGCTACGCCACCACTGCCTGGCTATTGAAGATATTTTAAACAAATGCTAGGAAAACTTTCTGATGAACAATAGTCTATTGTTTGTATGAGACAGTATCACGTGGTCCAGACTTTCCTTGCTTCCCTTTTCCAAATGCTAGAGTTAAGGAGAGTACTGCTAGCTAGGTCTTCCAGGCTTTAAACCCCCCCCCCCCCCCATGGGAAGTAGATTCAGATCTATGTGTTCTAGGCAAGTGTTCTATCCTAGCCTGATGTTCTGGTCTCATCTGTGGAGGTATAGCTTTTTATTGTTTTGTTTGGGCCTGAAGTTTACTGTGTAGCATACTCTCACCTTGATGAACTAGCAAGCTTCCTGCTTTGATAATCCTGCTTCAGCCTCTGAAGTGCTGGAACTATAGGCCGAGCTCCTTGGGTATCTGTCTGTCTCATGGGCCCTTGCTCCTTCTGCCATGTGTCACTGACATTTTCTTTGATGGTTAAATGTATTAAGAACAGTTGCTAGTCTTGGTACACACCTTTAATTTCAGCACTTGGGAGGCAGAAACTTGGATCTCTGAGTTGGTGGCCACCCTGGTCTACAGAGTGAGTTCCAGGACAGCCAGGGCTATGCAGAAACCCTGTCTCTAACCCCGCTTCCCAAAAAAAAGAAAGAAAGAAAGGAACAATTATGCTTCCCATTGAAAATAGTAACACTGGGCTGGTGAGGTGGGTCAGTGGGTAAAGCTTGATAACCTGAGCTTGATCCACAGCACCCACATAAAGGTGGGGGAGAACTCATTCCACAAAGTTGCCCTCTGGCTGCCACACGTATGTCATGGCTCACATGACACACATACCAGACACATAATGATAAATTATGAAAGGAGAATTTGACTGTATGAGTTAGAAAGGAGGTAGAATAAGGATGGAGTATGTGGCCTGGTGTTGTGCTTTTAATCTCAACACTCAGAGGCAGAGGTAGGCAGATCTCTTGAGTTCAAGGCCAGCCTGGTCTACAAAGTGAGTTTTAGGGCCAAGGCTACACAGAGAAACCCTGTCTCAAAAAGCAAAAAAATAAAATAAAATAAAATAAAAAAATATATATATATATGAATATGCATAAGGCTCTTGTAAGTATGAAAGAGGTGAAATTACTAGCCATGTAAGCCAAAAGCAGTCAAGTTTATATCTAGATGTGGTGCCA